TTTTACATTTAAATCGATGCTTCATTTTGGTTTAATATCTGCATGAGTGAGATGTAGGTTGAGGTTCATTATTTTGTCTATGAATGTCCAGTTGCCCCAACCATTTGTCAGAAAGGCTATCCTTCCTCTAGTTTTTTCACTTTGTCAAAAATCAGTTTGGTATATTGTGTGAGAGTATTTCTGAGTCCTACATTCTATTCCATTGGCCTATGTGTCTATTCCTCCACCAAACCCTACTGTCTTGATTAATGCAGCTACAGAGTAAGCTTTATTCCAACTTTATTCTTTTTCAAGATTGTTTAAGTTTTCCTAATGCCTGTGTCTTGCCATATAAATTTTAGAATAAGCTTGATTATGTCTATAAAAAAACCTTTCTGGGATTTTGATAGGAATTTTATTAAACCTAAATATAAAATAAAGGGGAACTGACATCTCTAATATGTTGAGTCATCCATTCTGTGAACATGTTGTCTCCATTTACTTAGGTCTTTGATTTCTTACTACTGCATTTTATGGACAACAGTGTGGTGATTTCTGGGGAGAGGAGAGTATAAGGGGACTAAATGGTAATGGAAACAATATAATAAAGATTAAATTTTTTAAAATTAAAAACAAAAAATAAAATTTTCAAAATAAAAACCCTGTACATATTTTTAAGTGTATACCTAACTACTTCACTTTCTTTTGAGCGATTATAAATGGTACTATTTAGAGTTCTGCATGTTCATTTTTACTTTATCAAAATGTGATTAAATTTTGTGTATTGATCTTGTAACCAGTGACCTTGCTGAACTAACTTAGGGTTCTATAAGTTTTTTTGTACATCTTTTGTGGTTTCCCCTGTAGACAATATGTTACCTACAAAGAGGGACAGTTCTATTCCTTCCTTTCCAATTTGTATGCCTTTCATTTCTTTTGTTGCCTTGTTGTCATGGGTAAAGCTTCTGGTAATATGCTGAATAAGAGTGGTTAGAATGGATGTCCGAGTCTCTTTCTTAATCTCAGGAAGAAATTAATCTTTTACTATTAAGTATGATTTTAGCTGTAAGTGTTATGATGATGTAAGTTGAGAAATCTCCCCTTTATTCCTATTTTGCTGAGAGTTTTTATCATGAATGGGAGTTGGATTTGGTCAAGGCCTTTTCTGCACAACTGATATGACCATATGATTTCTCTTCTTTACCTTTTGACATGCTGGATTATATTATTGATTTTCTAATGTTGAACCAGCCTTGTATACCTGGAATAAATCCCCCTTGGTCATAATGTATAATTCTTTTCATACATTGCTGGGTTCAAATTACTAATATTTTATTAAGGATTTTCAGGTCCAGGAATGTCTGTGGTGTCCTGACCTGTGCACTCCAGAGTCTTCTTGGAGTGCAGTGGGAACTAGGCTAGTAAAAGGGGAGTGGAGAAGGCTCAGGCCAGTGGGCTGGGCTCCGGGAGCATGACTTGACATTAAGCCCTAGGCTCCTTCCCTACATGGGAAGGTGAAGCAGTCTCTACCTGCCCATGCCTCCAGTCTGATCAGGGCCTTGGGCCTACTGCACCAATGTGCAGGAGAGGGCTTAGTAGACCACTGGAGGGTAGCATAGTCAGAGAAAGAGGGCAGTGCACTGCGAGTAGGATGCCTGGACTCACAGACTCCAAAAGATGACTGAAGCCAGACAGCAGCTGACAACCAGGTAAGCCATCTACATTTCTAAAAGGATGGTGCTTTGGGTGAGAGAAGAGGTTCCTAGCATAACCTTGAACTGAGCTGGCAGAAGGTAGTGGGGGGATTCCCTGTGGGTGTCTTAGAGAAAACAGGATTTGAGGCGGAAATCTGCCATTATCTCAAGTTGTGCAATTGTTAAATAAAACATTCCTTTTCCTTTCCACTTAACTCTGTCTCAAGAGTTTTGCCACTATGGTGGTGAGTGGAGGGACCCTAACTGGCTGGGTTCAGTAACAGACAGATATCCTAAGGGTAGGGGTTAACAGAGTACTGATTAGCTTCACATATTGCTGCCTTCTTTAGTCTTGATGCTGGTTGGGGTGGAGGCTCAGTTCTACAGCAGGGGAGAACCACAGTGGTGTCAGTCTCATTTTATATTACCTCACTGACCCCAGGGATAGAGGGAACTGGAATGTTGCCTATCTTCAACTCACACTTCTGTTTTCATTTTCATTGATGCTGGGTATTGTGGATGATTACCTTCCTGCTGAGTCCCACTGGCATGAGGGCTGTGGAAAGCATAGTAGAGACCAGACTGACCTCACACGGCCTTGTTAAATCTTGGTGCTAACCTGGTAGGAGCCCAGGGTCTCAGCTTCCCACTGGACTCCATGTACACTACCCTGGAAGGAAATAAAGAGCACTGCTTACTTCTGCAAGATCAGCTTCCCACTCAGTCCTCTGATGCTACCTACCACAGGATTTGGGTCACCTCCTGCTATTGCCTAGTAGGGTTTAGATAATCAGCTTTCCACTCAGCTCTACTGACACTGCTCCAGCAGAAAAATGAGAACACTGCCATCTTCTTCCACCATGTGGGGGATCAAAGATTAGCTCTCTGGTTAGCTCTACTAATGCCACATGGCAGGGGGATCAGGATATCCGCACTTAGTTCCATAAAGTAGGAAAGTGATGTGGAAGTGATGTGATCAGCCTCCTGTTCAACCCCTCTGAAATCCTGTGGAAAGGGGTTGCAATGTTTCCATTGATGTATGGGCAAAGTAGGTCAAATATTACCAAAATGTTTTCTGTGTTTAGGCAAACCTTTTCCTGGTCCTTTGGCTAGGGGAAGTAGGCTTTTCTTGGATCATTTTTTATCTGTGCCTGTTAGAGATTCTAAATTGGAAGCTTCTGCAGTGTTCTACCCGGAATATATGGAATGTTATAAAAAACCAGAGGGCTCATTGTCATGTCATTTCTTAAGTTCAGAGGTCCCCAGGCACACCTGTGTCTTTTTTTCTACCTTTCAAAGTCTTCCTATGCTTACTTTTGTTATGTCCCTGACTTATATGGTGTAAGAAGGAGGACCTAAGAGGAAAGGGACTACTTTATTATTGCTGGAACTGGAAGTCCCTTCAGCAATCCATCTTATAATTAAACAAATAAAGAGGACAAAAACTTATATATTTACTCATGCAGTTACCATGTCCTTTGCATTTCATTCCTTAGTGTAGATCTGTATTTCCATCTGGTATAATTTCTATCTAAATTACTCCCTTTAAAATTTCTTTTTTTAAGTATATTTTATTGATTATGCTATTACAGTTGTCCCAGTTTTTCACCTTTTGCCCCACTCTACCTGGTTCCCCCCTTCCCTGCAGAAATCCTCCCTCCTGTAGTTCATGTCCATGTGTTGAACATAGAAGTTCTTTGACTCCTCCATTTCCTATACTGTTCTTAACATTCCCCTGTATGTTTTGTACTTATCCAATAATGCTTCTAAATCCCTATATCTTTCCCCCATTTTCCCCATTCTGCCTCCAAGCTGATAACCCTCCAAATGGTCTCCATATCTATGATTCTATTCTTGTTCTAGTTGTTTAGTTTTTGTTTTTTAGAATCAGTTGTTGATAGTTGTGAATTTGTTGTCACTTTTTAAAAGATTTTATTTATTTTTAAAGAGAAGGGAAGGGAAGGAGAAAAGGGAGGGAGAGAAATATTAATGTGTGGTTGCCCCTAGCACACCCCCTACTGGGAACTAGCCCACAATCCAGACATGTACCCTGACTGAGAATCAAACTAGCGACCCTTTGGTTCACAGGCTGGCACTCAATCTACTGAGCCACACTAGCCAGGGCAATTATAATAACTTTTAATGCACTGATACTAACATCTGAGTCAGTTATGGGTATGTTTTTATTTTTCTGTTCACATTTTCTCCTCATTACAGGCCTGTATTTTCCTGATTCTTTGCATAACTGATATTATTTGATTGGATGCAAAAAATTTTTCAATTTTACTTTGTTGGATGGTGGATATTTTTGCTTTCCTATAATTAAATAAGCTCTTGAGGTTTGTTCATGGATGCAGTCAAGGCCCTTGGAAATAGTTTGTTTTAATTCTTGCATTTAAGATTTTCTAGGCAGAAATGGAGCAGTGTCCGGTTGCTCCCAACACTGAGGCAAGACCCTTTTGTATACTACATCCAATGCTCGTAGGATTATAAGGTGTTCTAGTCTAGCTTATGGGAGTAGTCACTACTTCCAGCTCTATGTGAACTCTGATTTCTACTCCCTCCAATCCTCTTGGATAATTCATTCCCCAGAGTCCAGTCGTTTCCTCACATGCAAGCCCTAATCAGAACCCTAGCTTGTCCTGGTTTTAAAGTCACTCCTCAGGACAGACAACAAGATGAGAAACATATTCTCTAGAAGGGTGTTCTTGAAATGTATATCCTCAGGCCAAGACTGGAGGATTAGGAAATAGAACTTTATTTACTTTCTCCCATTGACCCATTAAAATGAATTGTTTTATCAGGCAGTTATATTGTCAAAGAAGTTAGAAGACAACTACCTAGCATCTGAATTTTTTTTTAAAGTTTCCCACAAATGTCCATAAACAGCAGCAGTTGACAGATTTTACGTATGCATCCTCTGGGCTGCTTGTTAAAAATATAGATTCCTGAAATTTGGCAAATAGTTGATAAGTGTTGAATTTGACTAATAGATACATGGAGGTCCGTATACTCTTCTACTTTTGTAAGTTTGAAACCTTCCACAAGAAAAAAGGCTTAGAAGAAAACCAAATATATTAAGATTCCTGGTCCTGTATGCCTAGAGCCTTATTTAGTGACTCTAAGTGTGACCCAGGAATCTGCATTTTAACAAGTGCCTTTAGCTCAGATGGTCTTTGAGAAACACTTGTACACTCATTATTAAGTGATTCATTTGCTTACCTTAATTGTCTTTATGGTTGCTGTTTTCTCATTTAAAGTATGTCCATAGGCCTCCAGACTACAATGTTCAATTAAAAGAAAACTCTCAGCTTATCAAGTTCTTACCTGAAGAGCCTCTGGGGGCCAGGGATCCTTGAAGCCAAATTTGTAAGAATGGAACTCTCCTCCAGTCAAAGAAGCAAGTTCTTTCAGAAAGCCATTTGCAATCTTATCATTGTAATTGAAGGAGATGGTATGAATAGGAATTTTCTTGAAATCTTTGACTTGGTCTATAACCATTTCAGGTGGCTAAATGGCAAGTTTTGAGGTGGGAGTGGGGTGGAGAGGAGATAGAAAGAGAAAAAAAGAGAAAGCAAAAAAATAAGATGTTAAATCCCTTAGTATTTGTTCTGGATAGTGAAACCTCAACTAGTAATGACCTACAATATATAGCAGTGAGTGGCTTCTTGGAAAGATGTCAGTTTAGTTCAGTAAGGAAAGCAAGCACTGACAAGCAGAGTAAAAAGACCAATGACATGGTCCTTGCCCTCTGAGGGTGGGAAAAAGGATCTGGGAGAAAGATGTGACTAATCAAGTCACTCAGCTTTAGGTGCACCTAAACTTAGAAACCATGCTTTTAAGTTGTTGGGCTATGCATCAGATCCCCCTAAAGTACTGCAGTCAGAAGTCATGAGTAGAACATCCTGGAAATCAGGATTTTAGAATGAGGCCCCTGGAGCTTCATGTGGCTCCTAAAGATCTCCACTGAAAGAGCAATTTCCGACTAGACAAGCTATGGACAATGGACAATATGTCTCCCACAGAGAGCAAACGAAGAGACATTAAGTGTCCTTCTCTTAATGTTCAGCTCAGAGTGAGCTGGGCACTCTGTTGGGGCACTATATCCCAGTTAATCCTCACAGCTGTCTCGAGAAGTAGCTTTGGAAAAACTGTGCCTTCTCAGTACCCTGCCAGCAGGAGTGTTACTTGGTATATCTTCTTGGCAGGGGGCAGGGTGTGATTTGGCAGTATCATGAAAACGTATCTTTTGACTGAGTCCACCTCTCAGAATTTGCACTACAGATATACGCATACATGTGCAAACTGATATATATGCACAGTTACTTTTGCAACATGTATAACAGAAAGATCGAAAGCAACTTAAATGTCTGTCTTCAGGGGACATAGCTAAATAGCCATGTGATAGAATAGTAGACAGCTGTAAAATAAATGAGGAAGTTCTTTATGAAATGGTAATAAGCAGACAGCTGTAAAATAAATGAGGAAGTTCTTTATGAAATGGTAATAAGCAATCTCTAAGGTATACTGTTTTATTTTTTAAACATCAGAATTGTGTGTGTAACATGCTACCATTTGTATATTTTTAAAGGAAATATGTATAAATACTTCTGTGCTTGCAAACAAACAATCTCTGAAAGAAGATGTAAGAAACTGGTAATATACATTGCCTCTTAGCTGGTGAGCAGGAGGTGGGAAGGAGAATTTTCTCTATGTATCCCTTTGTTCCTTTGTAATTTGTACCATGTAAATGCATTTCTATTCAAAAATTAGTAAACATAATTAATCTTTATTAAATGTCTATAATGGAATATGATACATTCATTAAGAATGATGTTTCTGAAGACCTTCTCATGACTTGAACAACTCCACATGTTAGATAAAAAAGCAGGATGCAAAAATGAATTATGAATTATTTGACTTTTCTTCTTTCTTATGCTTGTGCTTATCTATATTTTCTAAATTGCAGTAAAATTAGTTACAGTTTACTAAAAAGAAAAGGATCTCTTGTCCAGATAACTTTCAAATAAGAATATCCAGCTCCTATTTCTAGGGGCTTCTGGACATCCATGGACTATAAGCTCTCCAAATTAGCTGCTTCTGTCAACAACATCCAAACCAGCTCCTTTAAGAATTCAAATCAGTTAATAACATAACCATGATAACCAGAAATCAGTCATCTTGATCTCTTTCTCCCTTGCTCCCTCTTCTCCTGCCCCTGCTTCCCAACCCCCTCCCAAATTGGTCACCGAGTCCTTTGAGGCTAGTTCTATTATCTCATCTCTGAAGAGAATCCCCTCCTCCCCCTTTCTGCTGCTCCTACCCAAGCTGGGTCCTTACCAGTATGTCAAGATCTAGTTTTTCCCTGGCACTAGGCAGCATATTTCTAAAATACAGATGGATAGAACCATATGCTCCTCTGAGCCCAAGCTCCTGACCCCCACCCCCACCCTGCCACCTGTGGTAAAACCCATCCTTTCCATGTGGCATTCAAGGACCTTCACAATCTTTCCAAACCTAACTTTGGAAACACTGTCCTGACACACTTCCCTTGACACTCATAGCCCTTATTCTCACATTGTTTCTCTGAGCCCTTTTGTTGCTTCTACCCAGAATACCAGTCATCTCTGTTAAGAAAATTCCTTCTCCTCTTTCCAGACACAGCTGAAATGTCCCCTCCTCGGTGGAAACTTGCCTGGTTGTCTCTACATCTTATACAGCAAAACGCATCACTTTATGCTCCCAGACCTCTCGTAGCACAAAGAAGCCAATTCCCCATATCGTATCTGAGTTAACTGTGCATGTCTAGTATGTCCCCTAAAGTGTCAGCTTCCTTAAGGCTGAGATATTTTTCATCTTTGCAGCCTCAAACTTTGACACTACATATAGAACATAAACAGGGTGCAAGCATCGCATCTGAATAGAAAGTATAGTGAAGTTGAGGGGAAAATCATTCCAAATAAAATTTCATTTTACATACAACTTCTCTGCCATGATAAATCTAATGCTGCAGTAAATCTAGTTGCTTCACTATTTAATCCCTGAGCCATTGGACACAGGATATTTTACACTGTTTGTTCAGCTGTCTTCATATGCAAACACCTCACAATGAAGGAAACAAGTTGGTACTAATTCACTTTAATGGTTAATTTACACTGTACTGGCCTGCAAATCTGTATATTTATTTAATGCCCAGAGCATTAGTCTTTCATTCATAAAGCTCAAAAAAAGATGAACAGACTCTGCTAAGATTTGCAAATATGTTTCAGTCAGGCTAAACAAAGCAAAGAACATTCCACTAGACAGGCATGCTTTTGTTTAAATGATTACTAAGTTAAAATTAAGCATAAAATCGAGGACATTATGCAGTGACAAGTTTAGATTCAGAGTTCCCAAAGGAAAAAAATCAACAAGAATTTTCTCTATGTTTATAATAAAATATAAACCAGTCTTCAATGGCAAGTGGTAATCTCCTCTCATAGGATTGTTCTCCAGGCCTGACAGTATGTGGCACATTAACCAGACAGCACTCAGGGTCATATGAATTGTCCTCTGTGTTTCAGTAGACAAAGTAATTCCTCTGTATATTTTCTCACCTCAATTCTGGGACCCACAACCAAGGAAATATCTTTCAACAGCTGTTTGATGACCATTTAAAAAGTCCCCAAATCCATTCTCAACATTGTCTTTCAGGGTTTTGGTGAATCCGTCTTTGTCCCTAACTTTGATAAGTACCTGATCAGGTCTCCCATCTGTCAAAAGGTAAATTGCTTGTGTTTCTTCATCAGCAAAAGCAATTTGCAGGGCATTCAGAGTGTTTGTGGAACTCCCAGTCTACAGAAAAGAATACCAAGCACACATTTGAATCTCAAGAAAGATCTCAAATGTTTTCTGCTCTCAAAAAAGAAAGAAAAGTTCTTGTGAAATAAAAGCTACATTAAAATTATATTGAGATAATAATTTAAGCCCAGAAATTCCAAGAAACCAAACCCCTGGGTGTGACATAAGGCCTCTTTCCTACTGGTCCCAGGACTGCTGGATGCCGGGGCTGTGGACTTCTGTCCTGACAACAGAGCTCTTCATGCAATTCTATCTTCCTGTGTTTCTGTGTGAGGCACAAACCCAGTTACTGTTCCTTCAGCTGTCAACACAGCCTCAACACACAGCCTGAGTACACCCTGGCAGGGATCATGTTTGTTTGAAACAAGGATTGACTCACAACACCCAGGATTTGGCAAACATGAGTGTGGTAGCATTAGCAACCTGGAGGTACAACAAAGAAATTGTAAATTTAAAAAACTCCTGCAGGTTCTGCCCAAGGATATAGAGCACTGGCAAGAGTGTCACTCCAAGACTCATAATGAAAGAACAGCCATACAGCAAACAGGGAACTGCTGTTACACCCACCAGAGTGTCAGGTCACAGGGCAACCGGTTGGCCCAAAATGTCGGGGGAAACAGGCACCTGCGGAGTGAAGCGAGATGCAAGCACTGGCCTTCTGGAACAGGATGCAGCCAGACACTGGTAAGGAAAGTTTATCTGGGATGATTGGTTAATTGGTAGAGGCTATCCAGGTATATAATGACTACAGGGTAAAGGCCCGGATGCCACAACTAGAGGGGGAATCTGTGCTCTCTTGGAGGCTCTTTCATCACAAGCCCCAGGAATGCTCACAGAAAAGACTGGGAGAGTCCCAAGAAAGTCTCCTTCATGGCACAGGACTTGGGGAGAGGGACAGTGAAACTTGAATCTCCAGAGACCCCTCCCCTGTATCTCCTCTATAAAATAAAAGCCTTAACCTGTGTGTGATGCGGAGGTAGAGAGAAGGGCACAAATGTGTTACCCTTAGGGAACAGGTGAACACCCAGGACAGCTGGAGGAAGGAAAGAGGGAGGAACAGGAAGAACAGGATGGGGTGCTGAGAGGGCCACACCCCTAGTAAAGGTATTGACTAAAGAGATTGGGTGAATGCAGCAATTTTCAACCTTTTTCATCTCATGGCACAATTCCTAAAATTCTGCAGCATGCCAAAAGATATATTGTATTTTTGCCAATCTGACCAAAAAATAGATATAATTTTGATTCATTCACACTGGACAGCTATTGTTGTGGTGGCTGTGGTCATGTTTTAAAAAATTTGACAATCTAAGAGAAAAGAGGTCAGTGCTCTTGACTAAATAGCCAGGTACACCATGTTTTAAAAATCCTGTGGTGCACCGGTTGACAATCACTGGGTTAATGTAATCTCAGTAAACCAAATGAGCGTCTATGTGAAGCCAATGCCATCCCTGGAGCTCAAAGCGGTTCCTCAAGAATTTCTCTCCAGCATGACCTCAGCAGGGGATCAAGTCAGGTTACTTCTCGCTTCTCAAATTCCAGCCTCCATCTTACCTTCATGTCTCTAACCCAGGACTGAGCCCCTTTCAAATTATCTTCATTGATTTCAACAAGTTTTTCCTGCCAAGCAACTGCTTGAGCATCAAACTGCACAAAATTGAATTTCCTTTTAAATTTCAACTGTTCCTGTAAGAGACAATTATTATTTAAGCATCACGCCACTCAAATGTAAGAAAATATTAGGACAGGTCACAGTTTGATAAATTTTAATCCCTATAATACCTCTTTTCCATTCTAGAAGATAAAAATTATATCCAATAGAGAAAAATCTTTTCTAGTACAAAAGACATGTAAGTAAAATTTATAGTTTGAATACTAAACCTTTACAAATGTATATATGCATGAATATATATTATGTATCATATATGAGTTAAATCAATATATATAATGCGACATTAAATGTTATCTCTAATACTTATATTAATGATATCCCAAATATGCACACTAAATGCAACATGCTTAAGAAAAAGAAATTCAAAACAGTGTTACATTTTGGTTATCAGTTTTTTGGTAAGGCTATTATTCCATTACATATCTATTCACTTGCCTTTCATCAGCCCCTATTTCTCAAATGGAGAATTACCAAATTAAAAGTTGTATTTTGTAGTTGTCAACACTCCCCACAATTATTTTCCGTGGTTAATACATCAATAATACTGACTCATTCAGTGCTGTGATGCCCACTTCTAGGTGTGGGGACTTGGAGTTAGGAAACACAGGCCGTCTGCTTCAGGCCCTGCAACTCAGAGGCAGCACAAGCTGAATGAGAACAGGAAGCTCCTCACCATCAGTGCTGGATCTGCGTGCACACAGCACCCTTCATAAACATCAAAAATTCAAATTCAAATGCCAACCTAAAGATGAAAACCTTGGAGGTGTGTGCACATCACAGACTTAAGGATAGAGAAAGCCTGCAGCAATGGACCTAGGTACTTCCTCAGTAACCCAAGTTTTGCAGAAAGGACCCACCAAAGGGAACTGGTAGCAAAAGGGAACTGATGATTCTTCTCTAACTGACAAAAGGAAGTTTTTCCTACAATGCCTTTCTTGTGGATTTTTGAGTGCAACCTCACCTGTGCACCTCCAATTACCAGAACAGATGATGATCAGTAGAGATGTCATGAAACACAAGCCCCCAGATGCATGAACTGTTAGCTCCACCTAACCTGTATAAATTGGATGATCTTGTCCTTCACCAAGTCCAGTTTGCCCTTCATTGAGTGAGATGTATCAATGAGGATGTAGACGCAATCATTACACACTTTCCCAAAAAGGATTTGACTTCCATCTTGTAGCCATTTAATCCTAGGCAGGAAATAGTTTGAAAGTGATTGGTTGTGAGCCTGTGTATGGAAGGAGAACATCTTCCTAAGAGCTGAGTGATGTGCCTACAGAGGCCAGAGCTGTGCTGTATTGTTTGTTCATATACAATCTTCTGTGAATGGATTACTTACTTTGCTGGGTTCCTGTGGAAAATTCTGCATTCAAGCTGACTCCCTCCTCATCCCCCTCCCCTATCCATCATCAATCCAAGTAAAACAAAACTAGGAAAATTAATAGGGAAGAAAAATAAATCCAATACTGGGTTCCAAAGTTAAAAGTAATTTGTTTCCAGTCATCTGAGAGTTTGAAACCCCCAGCTATGACTTCAGACCCTTTGTTTTCCCATCCCTGCTGACCGTAATCACGCTAGTAATGCTAGCATGTTTCTAAAGTGTCAATGCAGCTTATAGACAATAGCGGGCCACTCCAGATCCCTGTAATAACAAAGTGCCAGGCAGCTGTCTCAGCAGCACAGCTTCTGTGGCACAGGCTTAGAATGCCATCACAGGATGTAAAATTAAATTCACAGCTGCAAGCAAAGCCAGGGGAGGAGCAGTCCAATGGAAAAATATTTGAAACCAAGTTCAGAAAGGCCTTGTCAATAAGAATTTGTAGAACAAACTGCTGGAGAGTATTGAATGAAAGGAAATATAACACTTCAAAATTTGTGAGAGGTAGGAAGCTGAAGAGATATTCAGAAGAAAGATTACAATATTAAATGCTTGCTTATACTAGAAAGAAAGGTCTCAACTCAGTGATATAAGTATCCATCTTAAGAAACCCAAACCCAAACTAAGGAAAAGGAAAGAAAGAAAAATGGCATAGAAAGGAGAAAACCCTATGGAGGAAAAACAAACAAACAAACAATGAAACTGAAAGCTGGTTCTTTGAAAAGAAGAATTAAATTAACCACTTGACAGACTTATTAGAAAATAAAGATGACATAAATTACAAACATCACCTCTATGAGCATTTAAAGAAATTGAATATGTAGTTAAAAACCTTCCCACAAAGAAAAACTCCAGGCCCAGGTGGCTTCAATGGTGAACCCCACAAACGTTTAAGGCAGAGATGATACTAATTCTCCATGGAAAATAGAGGCGAGAAAACTTTCCAACAACCCTTGACACTTGGTATCATGAGAGGGACAAAAAGATTTGGCAGCTGCCAGGTGGAATGTCTTTTAAGCAGCATCCTTTTTCCCAGATCTGTAGTCCAAACTACTCTCCCAAAAAGTCAACCCTAATATAAGGATTACTTTTTCTGAGTAACCTATCACCACCTGGGTTTGAGAAGCTGGGGCTCTGAAGACAGTATGGAGACAGGTGTCTGCAGCTTGGGGCTTTATAATAGAAGACAGAGAGGGAAGGAGGAAACTTTCATTTCCAAGTGGCTACTGCAGGCTGGGTACTAGCTTATCCTTATTATATTTAGTGTCTAATCAAACCCATAGAATACATTTCTAAATGGCATTATTATTCCCACTTTATAAATGAAGAAACTGATGCACAAAAACATTAACTAACTTGCCAGGGTCACACAGCAAGTGGCAGAACTGGGATTAGACTCCAGCTCTATCTGACCTCAAGCCCATTCACCTAAACGAATTTGGTCTTCATGGTCTAAAGCTGTCCCCTGGCATGCAAAGTGAAAGCATGAAGGTAGACCATCCTCATGGGTCTGAGGTTGAGGTCACAGTGTTAGTACACCAGATTCATTAGCATTACCAGATTTTAGGAAATAGCAGGGTTGAGAAGGATCACATAGAGTTATTTCTAGCTGATTTCTAATACATACAGGGTCCAGCAGAACAAGGTCTGCTTGAGTGTGGTTTGTAGGGTAATAATATTAGTGTAATAATTTATAGTTTTAATTTGAACATTTCACCTAAAATGTCACATGGTGTGTTTGAGTGTAATATTGTCATGTCACAGAATTACATGCTTATGATTTTGTAATAAAAGATTTTGCAATAATAATGGGCGCTATTTGTGCCAGATCCTGTATATATATTTCAACTATTTCAGATATTTCACATTGTAACAGTTGCCCTGAAATCAAATATTCAAGAGTACAGAGGACAGATGTAATACAGTCTCAATACCTGGGGCCAACAGAAATTCAAGACAAGAGGAGAAGCATTCCTTAGCCTCCTACAGTGATGCACGACCACCATGATAACTATACCTTTGTTTGCTGTTTTTAAGAGTCTGAATCCAAACATCACCCTCTGTTATTAACAAGGCCACCAACAAACCATCAGATGGCAACTTTGATTTAACATGTCTGCTGGCCATTTCTCTTGGCTAAGCTTTACAAAGAGGTCAAGCACATTTGAATTTCAAGAGACTAGACCACTTGTACTGTCCTGTAAATATACCAACCTCCTCTGGATCTGGGCCAGGACTGCATGAATTCTCTCACTGTACCATGTGCACTTCTCCTTGGTAATGCAGACGTGAACCAAGCTCCCATCCTTCCAGGGGACATGGACAAATCTGCTACAGTATTTCGCATGGACTATCTTCTTGTTGGTCTCCTAAGGAAAGCACAAAGGACAGAAGCCATTCCAAGAGGAAAAGTCTCCAGGTGGCAATTCCATCTTTGCCTTATTTATGCAGCTCTTAGCACTCACTCCTATGGTAAAATCATTCAATTATTGGTTTGACCAAATATGTACTGGGGCCTGCTCCACATGGAGACCTGTGCTAGATGTCACAAATGATGGCCAGAAAGGCATGTGCTATCCCATCTGTGCCCCCAGAGAAGCTGCTATTTCCAGCAGCAGAACACCTAGAGAATGAGTTCAGATAGAGAGGAGGTCTGAGGACTCTCTTTGGCATTTAGAGTTTGGGAAAGAAGTAATAAAGAAGGCAGAGAAAGAATAGCTGTGAAGCAGAAGGAAAAACAGGACAGTGTATTTTCTTCAAGTAAAAAAAATTCAGGGAAGTAATCAAACTATATCAAATGTTGATAACAGGCCAAGGAAGAGACTGAGAATTGACCCCTGGATTTAGCAACTCAGGTATCCCTAAAAAGAGTGGGTTTTGGTGGAGGGCAGCCCTTTGCCTGACTGGAGTACATCCAAGAGAGCATGGGAGAACTGCAAAATTGGAGAATGGAAATGTATAAAACTCTAAGAGAACTGAATTTTAAAGAGAAGCTGAGGAACGAGGCTAATGAGGCAGAGCTGGAGGCAAATAGAAGGTCGAAGCACTGTATATTTAAGATGGGGAAAATAGCACCATGTTTATTTATGTGCTGATGGGAAAGATCTAGAAATGAGAGCAGAACTGATGATAGAAAGGGGGAGAACAAATGAATGAGGGAATAGGGATCAGTGAACACAAGGAGGACTTGGCCTCAGACAGCAGCAAGCACAGTTTAGCCATCCCAGAAGGAATAAGAAGAGAGCACACAGATGTAGATGCTGGGAGATTTGTAGCTCTGAAGTAGGTGTCCATGGATTTTTCACTACAATGTTCAGTGAAATGGGAACAAGGTCATCTACTAAGAATGGGCACAGAGGAGATGTTGAAGTTTGAGGAGGAAGAAGAAGGTAGATATCTTACAGAATGCGAGTCTGAGTGGTTTGGGAGAGGGCAGCGTGATTGTGGTGCAGCACAAAAGATCCACCTGAAGTTACAGGTAAGGGATTTAAGGTGAAACCAGACACTATTGTTGTGTGTTTTTTCTCCTTTTCACCCGCTGTAGTCACCTGCATAGGTACAAGGTAGAAAAGGCAGAAGGCTGGATTTAGCCAGAGTTGGGGTTTTGCCAGGGAGTGTAATAATGTACAAGAGAAAAAGAAGTTGAGGATATATGATGGGGTCTAAAGGATGGAGAGAACAGAGAAAAGATGGTAGAAACAACAGATTGTACATCCCATTGGGGTTGAAAGATTGATGGAATTAGGGAAGCAGAGAAAATGACCTACAAATTAATAGATGGTGGGACCTTTGAAATAGATTATGTGGGTTATGATTACACAGCTATTTGAAATGACAAGCTCAAGGGTCTGCCTGTGACAGAAGTGGTAGACATGGAGTAGAGGAGAAAGCCATTGGCAAAGAGTAGGTCAGAGAAATGAAAGATCAGGGTATGGGAAGGGTCATCGACATGATACTGACTTCATTAAGAATTGAAACAGAGCCAGTGACAGCAAGCCAGAAGCTTAATCTTCGAGGATTGACAGATGTGACATGGGGCTCATTAGGTGAAAGCCACTTTCTAACATGGAAAGAGGGTGGTAAAATGCTCAAGAAGCAGCAAAGAGGCCACTGCCTACCTCTGGGCCTACAGGAGATGGGGAGAGAAACCAGGGTCCTTGAGGGAACACAGACAAGCAGGCAAAGGGAATATCTCAGAACACTTCAGGCTCTGGGGAGTTTGATGATGACTTCTAGGTCCAGAGGGCACAGTGAAAGGGTTCTGGGAGTCAGGGAGGAATGGAGGAGGCTCAGAGAAGGGAGGTCAGATCTACATATGAATGAGATTTGGAGGTTCAGTGGTGACTGCTGTGAACAGGGTTGGAGGACATGATGAGATCAGCTTCCTCGGCAGGAAGGGGAACCACATCTGCACCGCAGTGCAAGGAAGAAAGAGAAAGATGTCCTCTCATTCTCACACGTTCCTGGGGATGGCACAGGAGAGTAATCCCTACTCTCAACCCTTTCATGTGGCATCTGCCAACTGTGCCTTACGCAACTGCGAATAGAAACACACCAGGCCATAAGTTACGTGAATATAGTTGTTAGGCAGCACAGTCTTAGAATGGGAGAAGCACAGTGTGAGAACCAACCAGATCTGAGTTCAAACCATGCTTCCACCTGCCATGAGATGGCAGGTGAGTTGCCTAACCTTTCAAAGACCCTGTGACTTTGTTTTCTCATGTGTGATATGAGAGCACAAATATTCACTTTATACAGAAAGCACATGGACATTCCATAAATGCTCACTTCTGACTCACCTAGTTTTTAATAAAGAAAAGAAGGCAGATAACATCTACTGGGCATCTCCTAAGTGCCAGGCACAGTGCTCAGACATGCATTTTTTCCCAAGGTTATGTTTATTGATTTTAGAAAGGGGAGGGGAGAAAGAGAGAGGAGAGAGAGGGGAGGAATGAGAGAGAGAGAGAGAGAGAGAGAGAGAGAGAGAGAGAGAGAGAGAGAAACATCAATCAGTTAGCTTCCATATGCACCCTGACCAAGGATAGAACCTGCAACCTAGGTATGTACCCTAACCAGAAACTGAACATGTAGACTTTTGCTGTATGCGATGATGCTCCAGCCAAATGAGCCACCTGACCAGAGCACAACATTCATTTTTAAAATTTGGACTTTAAACCATACACATTACAGATGGAGAAAGAGATTCAAAAAGGTTAAATTATTTGCTCAACATCTCATAATGAGTAACTGGTAGAAACAGCATTCACACCCAAGTCTTCTTACTCCAAATTGGATGCACTGTCCACCAAACTACACTGCCTTGTATAGAGTGAAGGCTCAATAAATATTTGTTAGAGGAATAAATGGTGGTACTAGAGTGGGTTTTTGAACATCAGGGCTGGCTTTGTACTTAAGCAGCATAAGCAGCAATGAATGTGATGTCATTTCGGGGATGCCCCAAAATATCAAGTTACTAGACTTTGCCTGAAATTTCCTAATTAGAAATAGGTTTTTGTCTTCTCCTCCCACCTGCTCATTTATCTTAGAGTAATACATAGCAAGGCCTTTTTAGTCATTCGTCTCAGTGTAAATGAGTTTCCTAGGTTAGTACCTACAAACTGGTTTTTATGGTTTAAAGTTCAGGGGCCTGCCCAATGGGAGCCAGGAAGAACCCTAAATAGTCAACCTATTTCACAGCCTCAGTTTCTTCCTAACTTATGATACACATCACAATTTTTAGTACAAATTCAGTTTCAGATATGTAGCCCCATACTAAATACTAAAAATAAAATTGTCTGTTTCTCAGCAATATTTGTGAAAGAGGATAGTTTTCTGTATACTTCTCAGCTTTTACTACATTATTATTTGTTAGCACAAGAAATTTCAGGTAAAATTCCCCATTTATAAGCCAAATTACTTAGATTTTCCCTACAAAATTTCATATAAAACTGTCAAGGAAGGACAAGGAAAAAAATCAGTATTAGAGAGAAACCTGAGCACACCACCATATTGCCAGGAGATTGCAGTAAGCGACATTCAAATGGACAAGGATTTATATTTTTAAATATCCAAGTCTTAATGTATTTTTAAAAATGAAAATGTAGTTATGCTTGATTTCCTGAACTAATAACATTACTGAATAATGTCTACAAAATCAGAAAACTGTGCTGGGGAGGAAACAAATGAGATTTTCCTGCAATGCAGCAATTACTCTGCATCCAGTATACATGCCAGGAAACAAGTCTTGCGTCAATTCTGCATTTTTCTTCTAATTCAATTTTTATATTTTCCTCCTTGGAGTTCATTGTCAACATACAGCAGTAAGAGGGCAAACAGACAACAACATGTGGCTACTGTAGCCCTGAAAGAAAGAGCCCTTCCCTGAGGAACCCCATGGCCAGCCAGCCCCATGAGTGTCAGAGAGACTGGGGTTTCACTTTTGACTGGACAGACATGTCACTGATGATCTTGACAATGAATCGGAGACTTAGAGAATACATAAAGTGGCCTGCATTTGAGAAGGATGTGAGCTCTTCTCCCAGTAGTGTCTGCTGTGTTGCTGGCATGTCAGCTTTCACTTCTCAGTGGGTACCTGGGCCTTTACCACCTTCTCAAAGAGCTTTCCTTTAGTTTTAATGTATTTAGAACATTCGTTGTATCCCGACTTTCTGTTTAATATTGTGACACTTTTTAGTCTTTCCGTAATTCTAAACTTTTGACAGTTCTGGATTCTATTTACATATCAGTATTTTTCAAAGTGTGGCCCCTGGACCAGGCACTTCAGCATCATCTGAGGATTGTTATAATGCAAATTCTTGGCATCCTCACCCCGGACCCACTGACTCATGTGTGTTAATGTTCATGAGCCATTACTAGAGATCATCATCCTTCCATTGTGAGCCAGACTTGGGCACTTAGAGAAGCTTTATTCTTTTCAGACCCATTGGCATAACAGAATTAAAGCTTTCAAGAGTTCTCAGTATTCGCCCTTCCAGTGTTACAACCCCTTAAAGAATCTGACTTTGTATTTATTGGGAATCTTCTAAATGCTGGCTAGTAATCCAAGACTAATGTGTTTTTAAGATAGTGAAAATACAAGAGGACCCTAGGAATGCCTGCTTTGGGCATATTCACAGGTAGTTTCTTTCTTCCATTCAATGTAGAGGAGGCAAAAGGTTTCTCTTTAGAAATACTGTTGAACCATTCTGAGGCTAATAATGCCTGAATTTCTACTAGCCCAGCTCTTGGCTTATGTATAATTATTGTATAAATCACTTATCTCTAGAAACCATTCCCAGAGTTGACCTCCACTCAGAGGAGTATATAATGCAAAGCAGAAAGGACATCCTTCTGCATGGAAACCCCAGCCAGTTTCCCTCCATGCTGCCTTTAACCTTGATCCTGCCTTGGGCTCTGGTCTGAGGGAAGCCTTAACTACCTGCTCAGGGTATTAAGAGAAGGCCACAGTCCCGCCGGGAGTGCACTCACCGCACTGGTCTGTATGTACTCATTCTCAGGCTTGGCTTTTATGTCGACAACTCCATCAGCATGGCGGAAGGAGCAGTTGGCAAGGACATCATAAAATGACAGATTTTGGGCTTTTATGCCATATTTCTGCAGCCACTTCTTAGAGTCCCAGGTGTCTTCTAGATTTGATTCATTTCCAACAGAGGTTGCTCCTGATTCTATTTTTGAAATCATAGTTCATTAACCATTAATATTACACAAGTCACTCATATTTCACCCACACATTAATATTTACCAAGCTGAAACATGTCCTTTGTTAGATCCCACTCATTTCAGGAAGTACACTTTTCAAAGCAGGACTGGCAAAGAATTAGTTCACAAGACTAGAAGGCAGGAATCTGCTACTCTTCATACTACTTCTTCCTCTACCTAAGCTGACTGTCGCCATGCATTGGTGGAGATAGCCAACAAACCAAGGCTATGTATTGGGAGAGCATTAAACTTGGGGTCAGAAGCTCTGGGTTCAAGTCCTGTCTCCATCAAGTCCTACTTAACTCAGGTTAAGTAGGGTGACTTGCCCAAGTTTGAGAACTAGGCTGGGCAAGTTCTCAAACTTGGGCAAGTCACCCTACTTAACCTGAGTTTCAGCAAATTCTTTACCTGCTGAAGGAAGATAGTATCTACTGTGCTTTCCCAGGTGTGTGAAAGTAATTCAAGAGAAGAGCCATGTGGAGGTGCTGGGTAATGAGAGGGGAGAAGTAGAGGCATGTAACCTGCATTGAAGTGGAAGTCAGTCAACCCCAGAAGACTAGTGGGCTTCCTGCCAGGAGTCCCCTGTTAACTTGGTGGGTTTATCCTGATTCAGAGCCTGGCCCTCAATTCTGCAGGCTCAGAAACTTCATATGTCAGCTCAGGCACCTAGAGCTGATCAATGACAACAAACCTTAGTCAGATTCATAGGATAAAGTATAATCCAGAAGGCCAATTGCCCAAATATTCCCAGCCTTAGACACAGTCCCTTGGTGTTTTCCAAAGGTTTCCTATACTCGTTAAGCAGGAGGAGGTTTTATGCTACCTGAGCAGAAAAACCATGTAAACCAGCTTTCACAGTAACAGAAAAGTATTTATCTAGGTGGCACAAAACCCCTAATGCCACCTAAGGGAGACCGGGCTATCTTGGGGTGGGCACAGAGGAGAAAGGGAACAAATCTGAAGCTGAGGAGGCGGCACTGGTGTCTGGAGCAGCCTTGTATTGGCCTGTGAGAGTTGGCAGTGCACCTCTCCTTCCAGCCTGTGCTCAGTGGTAGCCCATGCTGGGAGTATGTACAAAATCTGGAGGTAGCACATGATACAAGCCAGGACTTTTTTTATTCTAAAGTGTGGATTGCTAAACATTTATCTGCATGGCACTGGAAGGAAGACAGAACGGACCCTGAGATTTTAGCCCCATTGGGACAGCAGAGCTCTAGGAAGACCAGGAGGAATGTTGGGAAGGTGGGATTTAATAAAGTGTATTACCAAGTGTCCGCCAGCCCCATAGAATTTATTTCCACTGAGGTCAGTGGTTCTAACCCCGAACACTGGAATCCTCTGAGGAGTTTTAAATATACTGCTTCCTGCGCCCCACCCATTAGATTCTGCTCTAATTGGCCTGAGCACTGGGATTTTACAGACTCCCAGATGATTGAACAGTGCAGCCAAGCCTTGAACTTGGGGTAAGATGGAAAGAGCTTTCTAAAATATGAGATAGTGATCCCATCAATTAGGCTTCCACCAGACATAGATTCAAGTCAAATTATACTTTTAATTAAAAAGTAGCACTTACTATTAGGGAAACAAACATATTATCCATTCTTACCCATTGCTATATTTAAGGGGATATATAATTAAAATGAGATTTGAAGATATAAAATACTTTCGAGCCAATTATTTCTCACTAATGTGTATAGGATCTGTTCATTAGTCCTCATGTGAACCATGTCCTCATATTTTAATACAATAGTTTTAAAATAATGCACTCTGAAATCTACTGGAGGCGGACCATCTCAAAGAACCTTGTTTTTGAAATTTTAAACCAATCTGGCATCAAAAGCTGCTCTGTGCACTGCTCCCAATGTCAGCAGTTGGTTTCTATGTGACTTGCAAAGTGTCCTCTCACACCAGGACCTCCAACCAGAGGCTTCCTGAAGCTTCTGATCCCTGAGGTTCCCCTGCAGGTTTGCCTGCATCACAAGGAAGCAGCACAAAGAGAAAGAAGCTATTTACCCAGTGGGATCAGCTTCCTCAGAGTAGGAACAAATCCAACCCTTTGAGTGGATATTTTTCCTCATTATTGTTAATTTAAGCCTTTGTCTCCTCCTTATTCCTACTTTATTATTCACTTCTCTTCTTTCTAATCAATAGGTGTAGCAGGAAATACAATTTTTATTCAATTATTTCCATAGCAACACACACTATCACATCCTTGTGCTCTGTTTTGACTTGCCTTCTTTTATATCAACAAGAACCCTTTATAAATGATAATAATAAATACCAGCTTACCATAAAAGAATTCTCTAAAAACACATCACATCAATTTTAACAAGGATTTTTGAAGAGCCAGAGACTAACTTCTGATTCCTTCTAGAATCTCCCAGGACCACTCAGTGCAGTCACCTTGAGGGCATTATTCAGGCTCCCAATTACCTTCCAGAAAGGGGGGTTGGGAAGAAGACCCCAAAGCAACTTGAACTTCATAAAGGAAAGAAGGGGCAGCCAAAAGACAGCCTAGGTGCTCCAAGCCTGGGGGAAAATCTTTTCACTTTCATTGCAAATTATACCAAATAGTGGCTGAGCCTTATTTTACCCAATGGGAAGGGCCTCACCTCCTCATTAGAATCACCTGCTATGGGTTCTTTCCATTCTCCTACAGTTATAGGTATTAAAAATTTAGATAACTTTTCACTTACAGGCCTAGGAATACCTTTATTTATTATAGACATGTGTGCCCACAGGTCATCCTGATTTCATTGCTTTCCTTTTGTATGTGAGATTGCTAAGGATTATCTCTCAGTTATGGCAGGAGAAGCACATGGCAGATCATACCTATGCCACAGAATGCGGCCTGTTCCTCTCTGTCCTACTTATCAATCTCAGGATCTACCGGCCAATGCTTTTGAAACATCACTGTGATAGCCAGGCCATGATATAATGACAAAGTGGCCACAGTGCATCACCTCAAGGTGCCCACACCTCTCTTCAGGGTGCAGTTCCTGAGTGGCTCCCATCCATCAAAAGTTCACCACCACCATAATTGCTGGTCCAATGATGATGGTTAATCTTTTTGTTTTTAATTCTCACCTGAGAACATTTTCTTATTGCTTTTAAAGAGAGAGGAAGGAAGAAGGGTGGGTAGAGAGAGAAAGGGAAACATCGATCAGACACCTGTACACACCCAACCAGGGGGATTGAACCCACAACCTAGGTATGTGCCCTGACTGGGAACTGAACCTGCAACCTTTCAGTTTATAGGATGGAGATCCAACCAACTGAGCCACACCAGCCAGGGCAGCAATAGTTAATCTTATGTGTCAACTTGGCTGAGCCATGGTACCCAGATATTGGGTCCAACATTATTCTAGATGTTTCTGTGAAGGTATTTTTTAGGCAAGATCAACATTTAAATCCATATACTTTGAATAAAGCAGATGGGCCTCATTCATTGAGTTGAAGACATTAAGAGAAAAAAGACTTGCCCTGGCTGGTGTGGCTCAGTGGATTGAATGCTAGCCTGTGAATCACAGGGTTGGTGGTTTGATTCCCAGTCAGGGCACATGCCTGGGTTGCAGGCAAGGTCCCCAGTAGGGGGCACATGAGAGGCAGCCACACATTGTTGTTTTTCTTCCTTTCTCCCTCCTTCCCCTCTCTCTCAAAAAAAAAAATAAAGAAAAAGAAAAAGAAAAAATAAATACTGGCCTCCCATGAGGAAAAGAGAATTTGACAGCAGATGGCCTTGGACCCAAACTGCAACACCAGCTCTTCCCTACATCTCTAGCCTGTGGCCTGCATGCCCTGCAGATTTTGGATTTGCCAGCCCCCACAATCATGTGAAGCAATTCCTTAAATCAATCTCACTCTTCCTCCCTCTACACATGCACACATACTTGCACATCCTATTGGTTCTGTTTCTCTGCGGAACCCTGACTAATATACCTGTCCTCATCCACTGAAAGTTACCTGTCTAGCACCTCATTCCTGCCATGCTAGGTCCATGTGAACTATCAGCTAATGAGTAAACTCAAGCTCTAGATTTGGAACCAACCTCAGAGATCATCAAGGTCAGTGCTTCCCAGACTGTGTCTCACAAACACCACTTCTACTGCATCTGGTGGCTGTTACTGAGAAAGAGCTTACCTTAGCAAAAGGGGATCTTGAAACTTAACAGTTTCAACAGGTTCTTTATCACAGGACTTGTGTAAGCCTTTTTTTTTATAGGACTCAGCAGTGGACTCACCATGAACAGAGGCATAAATAGTATTTCCTAAAGTTATTTGGTCTCAAACTCTTTCTTCATAGAACACTGATGAGGGTTTATATTTGATAGACTACAGTTTGTTTGATACACACTGCCCAAATTCTCTGTTGTCACAGGTGCCATGAGACCCTGAACCAACACTTGGCTATCATGTGAAAAGTACAAGAAAAGGATGTTGTGAATCAGTTGTAAAGGAACGGTTTGGAAGAACCTGGAAGTGTCATCCAATAGAAAGAAAGAAAAAAATAATAGAGAATCAAGATGGCGGAGGAGTGAGTGGAAGTCACACTGACCTACTCCCAGGACCAACTTGGAATTACATTTAAATTGTGGAGAAATCACCTGGAACAAACAACTGAACAAGAACGAGAGAGGAGCCTTGAAACCTCGGAGACAGAAGAATCGGCTTTAGCAGAATCTAACTGGTAAGGAGTGCAGTACAGACCTGAGAAGGTGAGCGGGACACCCACAGTCGGCAGCACCAGAAGGATATTGAAACAGCCAGTTGGAGTCCCCTGAGAAGAGTGGGGTCTAAACCAGAATCAGGGGTCTCTAGCCCACAACGTTGGAGCCCAAAAAGTACACAGATAACAGCCAGCTGCGAAAAGCGGCAGGATTGCTCTCTGCCAGAGACAGGCAGCTGGGGACACAAAGAACTGTTTAAAAGGCCAACGCATAAATTTTCATTTGCAGACACCTACCCTG